GTGATGAAAGAACATGGCAAGTATCCCTAGGAATTATTTGTCTCTCCAGGCAAATAATTGTTGCTCTGGTCTTTAATGCAATTCTTGCTTAAGGCGGAGCCCTCCCCCGAAAAAATGCTTCTGCCGGGCTGCGGTGGAAGTTGTCTGCACAGCTGACAATACCTGTTGCTCTGGTCTTTAATGCAATTCTTGCTTAAGGCAGAGCCCTCCCCCGAAAAAATGCTTCTGCCGGGCTGCGAGAGCCGCGGAAGCCACGTGGAAGTTGTCTGCACGGCTGAAAAACGGACTCTGTTTGCTGGGCTGGGGGGAGGAGACAGCCCCCTGCCTTCTCCCCCTTTGGCTTTGCGGAGTTCACAGCCAGCCCCTGTGCTGAGCTGGCACGGGCGGCAAGTCTGGATGGAACCACGTGGAAGTTCTCTGCGTGACCGGCAGCCGCTTTTTACTCCCGAGTAAGTGAGTAGGGAAGTGAGTAGTCGCTTCAGATTGTAGGAGTACCCCGATAAGTTTTCCAGAAAAGAACTTTTCAGTAATCGACACACTCTTTCCCAGCCAAGTCTCCGAGGGACCTCTTGCTTGCAGAAGAAGGAGGAGGGCTGCGTAAAGAAGCGCCACCTTAAACCAAAGCCTCTGAGTAACTGGGAAAGAAAGCCACGCTTTTTGGGTGTCGATTTTCAGCAGTTCCAAGTGCGGCTTTTAAAAAGTGCATGTTATACTCCAAAAAATATGGTAGGTACTTTAGGACTGATGAATTGCCCTACATCTGCAGTGCAACACTATTTTAAATAGTTACAAATTTCAGCAGAGCATTGAAGAATCTCCTGGATTCCATGAGGATCTATTCTAACAGACAATTAGTAGCCACATGATACAAAGTTGCTCCAAATATTTATGACAAAATACAATTCTGGCTACAGAAAACTATGGGAAGAATGGAAGAAAATAACAGCCTGGGAATTAATTCTTATATGATAAGAAGAAAGAATGGAAGGGAGGAGAAATTTGTTTGAAATAAAATAAAATTCTAAAAAAATCTTGGCAATGTATTTTAAAGAAATGCTAACTGACAAAAAATAAATAAATTACTTGGTCAACTTTTTCAAATAAGCCATTTCAAATAGATGGTAACTTTAAAGTAGAATTGGAGACCATTCAAACAATTCAGTTTGATATACTACCTTTAATTCTTCAACAGCTTTCTGTAGTTCATCTGGTGTTTTGTATTCAAAATCCCTCTGCAGATATTCATCTTCTGCTTGTGTAATCCACTCATGCATTTCTGACAAATCCTTTCGTAGACTTACAATCTTATCCAAACTATTCTTCAATACTGCTTTCTTAGCATAGGCCTTGCATTAATAATAATAAAAAAGAGTTATTTTTTCCTCTCAAAAAAGACATAAAACTCTACTTTGGAACCCAAAGACTAACTAGAGTATGAGTCTCACAGTTAAAGAAATTAAAAATCCTGAAATGTTTAGAACATATTTATATTTCAAATATTGCCATATGTATACATAAACACTGACAAGTTTCTGGAAGAAAAATGCATATAAGCGTAACAAGTTACTTTGTTACACAAAAGAAAATATAAACTTTTCTTCTAGCTATTTCTGTGTCTACTTAGTAGAAAAAGGAGTGGAAAATTCAAGAATCTATGTTCTGCATTCATTTCCTATTTTGTTTGAGAATATCATTTCTATACATTTAGAAATGATGCCATAAGGATGACAGGTAAATGCAGTCACATTGTGGGAAAACTATGAATTATGTATTTTCATATAGTACAACATATAGTAGACATTGTTTCTCCAGTTTGTAATTTCTAATTAAACAATATTAAAATATCCAAAAGTTTACTATCAAATTTTGTGCTGTAGCTTTGCCTACTCCAGATTTTGTTTTCATTTACTATTACTCTTTTGAGAAAATAAAGCTTTTCTCAGAGAGATGCTTTTAACATACATAAACATTAATATGCTATAATTTGGAGCTCCAAGTTATTTATAATTGAAATTTTAGTTTTGGATATATAAGAAAATTGTAATGGCACATATGTTAATTTTCTATACTTATAACATTAAAATATTTTGTGCTAAGTGAAAGCCAATGAAGATATAAAAGTTAATTATATCTTTCTATATATTATTATTATTCAAAATATTTTGTGTATATCAGTATTCTCCAACCTCTGGTCTTTCAAATTCCCGGAAAGAATTATTTAATTATTTGTTTGTCACATTTATCTATTTTGCATGCATTTATATACAGTACTTATTAAAGATTTCTTATTCTGAATGATATATTCTGACTCTACTTTTCCCATTTGTGTACCAAGTAGAGAAAATTATAGTAAACAGCACTCTGGAATTTAAATAAATTAATGCTACATATCCTAATAGAATACCTGTTGGCAAATATTATCCCATTCAGCATTCAGTGCTTTAAGATCATTATTTAATTTCAAAGAAAACTCTGACTCTGCTTCCTTCTTCATTTTTTGTCCAATCTCATTAACACTATTTAAATTGGGCTGGATTGTCTGGATGTCATTCACCAAAGCCTAATAAGGAAAATATATCAATGTATAACAAATTTCCAGGATGTCATGATATGTGACATGATTCAATAAATAAAACATAAAATGTTATGGCATATTGAATAATTATATAAATAGAAATGCAGTATATAAATTAAATGATGAAAAATTGAAAATTGATATATTAATGCATACTTATTCTGAATTGTCTACACAAACTGACAATTTTAAGTACAATTTCACTACAATTATACTATATATAAACCCATAATTTAAAGAAAAGTACTCAATTTTATTGCTTGTATATGCAATTTTAACCATATTTCTTGAAAAAGAAAAAGATACAAGGAAAAACATACTGAAATTAAGACCATTTAAAATAGTGATAAAAATGAAAAAAATGTCTACAATAATCCAGCAGAAGCCATAGCTGCACAGATATCTCACACACTTTTCCTAAACAGGCATATAAATATACAAAATGAAAGTAACTGTATTTGTACAACAGTTATGCATATGATATTTACACCCATGAAATAGAGCAGAAGATGGAAACTTACTGTACATTGTTCTAGGGCTTCTGAATCTCCAAGTGCTGGCCAGTCTTCATTTAGAAAAATATCCACTTCAGCCATCCATTTTTTCAGGGTTTTTGTATCATTCTGGTTTTGAAAGAGAGCATTGCACGGCATGAAAGTATGCCATTGTGACTAAATCAGGGTATAATTTCAACAATATAACAAAAAATATCTTCAAAAATAATAAAAGTAAAAGAAATATATTAATCATGTATATAAGTGTTTATCAAAAAAAATAACCTAGTTTTTAAAATAAATTTCTGTATGTGTATCTATGCAAATAAAAACATACAGACACATATGTAATATATTATAGTTTATCAATAGCATAGCAACCTTCAATAATATTTTAGCAAACTTGCTTGTTTGCCATTCTACAAATTAAGCAAATACAAACAAGAAAGCACTCATTTTGCCCCAGATTGAAGTCTCTTGGCAATATTATCAAGTAAAATTTAGTCCACAAAAAACAAGTTCAACCAACCTGGAACTGTTTCAACTTCATTATCTGTTCCTCAAGTTTGTGACAATTTTCCACCAGCTGAGTTGATAACTTCTTCCAACGATTAAGGATTACCTCAATTTCTGACTGGTACTTCTGACTGACCCCTGCAGGAACTCTCTTAGACATCTCTTCTACAGTTGTGCTTAAATAATTGATTCCATTTTGCCGTTCTTGCAGAGAACTTTGTAAGGCCTGTGATATGTGAAATTATCAGTTTTTAGCTTCTATCAAGTCAGGCTGAGAATGATCTTACAGGATCATCTAGCACTCAAGAGTGTATGTTTGAAATAACATTTATAAATAACTTACTGCTTTTACGTTAAATCTCAATGTTGATATGCAAGACAGTATTTCTCTGTTTACCTTTAGCTCCCTGAGCCTTTTCTCCATGGTTTCTAAATCTGTGATAGTAACTTGTGGGATGGAGAGCTTTGTTTCTGATTGTTGTATCCACAAGAGAATTGCGTTCACAATTTCTTTATACTCTGCAGATGGCAAAATATCAAAAGCTGCACAGGAGGTGAGAAAAGTAAAGAAATCCTGCTTTATTTAGTTCAGCAATTGTATTCTATTGTGAATAAAAACAAATTAACACCCCTCTTTTAAGGTATGTACAATGAACAATAGTTCTCCAATAACCTCCAAAAAGAGAGGAAAAGCAGTTTATCTTTAGCCAATTCCATGCAGCAAAGTAAATTAAGCATAGAGTAATTAAGGTCCAATCTTTCTCCTTTTTCTACTTAGTATGCACTTTTTCAATTATACATTTGCAGTTTATTTAATGTGCTAGTTCTTACCTATAAAGACTAAGGGTCATTATCTTACTGCCGATAATGTTAAGCTTATTATTAAATGTCAGTCTTTTTGACATCTAATTTCAAGAGGAAAAAAGAAATAATCTCCAGCCCTGTTTCTACTAGCTTTAGGAATGCATCCAGAGAGGGCCTGCTTTACTCAAGCACTAGATAATTATAAATATTAGAAAAACTTTAGCACTGGGCTAGACATTGGGTAGATTAGGGGTCTACAACCTTAAACACTCAAAGAGCCATTTGGACCCATTTCCCACATAAAAGACCAGGAGCCACAAAACCTGAGTTGGCATGGCCAACTTGATATCACTCCCACCCAGTCACATGACCATCCTAGCCATGCCTACCCAGCCAGTCATTAGGGCAGAGAACCAGTTGTTAAAAAACACCCAGAACCATGTCCTTTTGACATATCTTAATCTCTCTCCCTCTCCTCCTCTCTCTCTGTAACTCTCTCTGTCCCTCTCTCTCCCCTCTTCTCTGCTCTCTTTCTGTATCTCTCTCTGTGTGTTTCTCTCTCCCACCCTCTCTGTATCTCTCCCCCACTCTCTCCCCTACCCCCTCTCTCTGTCTCTTTATGGAAGGTATACTTCAAGTTCTTAATCTGAGGATCATAGGCCCTTTGGTGTTCCATCAATAGAGTTCAATGGGTTTGTGAACTTGGTTGAGGAACTTTTTTTTCACTAATCTCTAATTGAAATGTAGCTTTTCATTCAATATTGAACATTGGATAAGTAATTTATAACATCTAGATTAAATATTTTTTAGCTTTAATAAATCACACTAACTAAAATTATATGATTTAATAAAGAACAGATATATTGTTCTATTTCAATACATAATTAATATTACAGTGTTTTCCCCAAAATAACACTCGGTCATAGGCCTTATTTTTGGAGTATGTCATAACTTTCCCTCCCCATGTACCAGTATGAGGTGGGGGGCAAGCTGCCCCATTCGCCCCACACTGGCTTACCAAAGGGTCACAGCAGGCCATCCCATCCATGCATATAGTTGCCTCATGGGGGCTGCTACGGCCACCGCCTCCAACAAGCATGGGTGCTTCTGCAACTGTTTGTGGCCACAAAAACATCAGGAGGTCAAGCAATGTGCCTTGTGTTGACTTACTGAAGGGTTCCAACAGGTCATCCCATCCACACATATAGTTGCCTCACAGGACAGCTCCAACCTGCTCCTCCAGTAAGCATGGCCACTTCTGCAGCTGATTATGGCTGCAAAAACAGGAGGTTAAGCAATGTGCCCCACATGCTGGCTTAATGAAGGGTACCATAGCAGGGTACCTGAATTAAGGAACTTTTTTGGCAAAGAAAAGGCAGCTCTTCTTTGCTGTGCTGGGTCACATGAGTTGGGGCAAATAACAGTAAAAAAAATTGTGGATAGCTGCTCTACAGTACTTTTTGGTAAGCTGGCGCAAGGCACGTGAGGTCTGTTGCTCAGCCTCCTGCTGTTTTTGCAGCTGCAATCAGCTGTAGAAGTGGCCATGCTTGCTGAAGGTGGTGGCGGGAGAAGGCCCCATGAGGCAACTATATGTGTGGATAGGATGGCTTTGCTGTGACCCTTTGGTAAGCTGGCACGAGGCACCTAGGCAGTTCCCCCCTCGCCCCACCGTCCCTCACCTCCTAACCTCATGTTGGTGGTGCTGCAAGCAACCAGACAAAATGGTGGCTGGGCAGATGCTTAAGTCGGGCTTATTTTAGAGATTGAGCTTGTATTCAGTGCATGTGTAAATAACATGATAGAGCTTATTTTGGGGGAAATGTGGTATTATACCATTTCAGCATAATTGTTTTTTTGTAATAAAAATCAGTATCTATGGAGTTTATCTTATGTATATAAATGTAGTATTTTTTTTAAAAAAAAGATACACACACACACACACATACACACACACACACACACACACACACACACACACCACTGTCAGGCCTGCAGCCAGTTCCTTTTGCGATCTTTGGCCTGCCACACTAATATTCTATTCTACTATGCTGTTTCTTTAGTGGGGAATTGGGAGGGGAAATAGTAAAGAGTACAATGTGATGTCAAAATAAAATTCCTTTCTAAAATCCAAGGTCATCCTTTGTCTCTACACTTCTGTCTCTTGATGGGAACTGGATGGATGGAACTGCCAGCATGGCAGTGGAAGATTGGGCCATGTGATGGACTTCTGGGGGTAGGGGCAGGATCTTGAACTTTCAACTGGGTGGGGAAAAGCGGGAGGTTTTCAGATTCGGGTTTTCTCAGATTCTAGGGAAAATTTACCCAGTATTTCATTGTAGCTTGTTGAAGCCAGTAATTGGGTCCAGCATAAGACTGTCCACCCAAGCTCCCCCTCCTCCTGTAGTGATAGAAGGGGAAACACATTATGAGGTGAAAAAAATCTTAAACTCCAGGCTGTATAGGGGTGGCTTACAGTATTTAGTGCATTGGAAGGAGTACCCTTTGTCTGAAGCTACTTGGGTGAAAAGCTAGAACCTAAAAGCAGATAAGTTTGTAAAACAATTCCTTGATAAGTTTCCAGATAAGCCAAAGGGTCCCCCTGGTGGGGAAGAGGTGGTTAATTTTG